TACAAAATCCTTCTGAACACCACTAGAAAATTCCACTGTCTTCTGGTGACTAACATGAGCTCTATTTCTACTATTCTCCTTCAAATTGAGAACTCTATGGCCTTTTGTTTGCTCCCTCATGTAACAGGCTCTTACTCATTGCCCAAGATTGAGGATTTCCAAAACACAAACACTGTTGCAGTGCCAAGCTTTGTACTGAAACTGGTTAAAGCAGAAAGCTAAATCAAAAACATTTTTTTGAAAGCTAAATCCCTTTTTCAAGTTCAACAGAAAAGCAACAAAACTTTCAGAAATATTTATAACATTCCCAGTTGAAGACAGCTGGGAAAAGAATGGGTACTAAGGCAGGAACAGACAGTAAGAGTCGTCGAGGTAATAATCCCTTTTATTAGCACTCCTCATTACTATTTGCACTTATATTTCAGCCACTCTCCAAATAAATAAAAGCACAGCTATTACAATGCCAAAGCAAAAGCTATTCTTATTGGGAAAAACACCAATGTTTGGACTTCTGGGGTTACTGTGACCTGGTTTGCTGAAAGATAAAACAAAGACTACTGAACACATCAAAACCATGGCTTATACTGTTATCACCTGTGACAATCATAGAAGACTAGATATATACTTCATGCAATAATATAAGCTGCTGCTTTAGAGGACATCTTTCAGTTGGTTTTTTATTATGATATAGGCAAACAGCCAAGCCATAAACTAAATCAACATTTACCTTTTACACACTGTGCAATTTCTTTAGAAATGACACCAAAAACTCTTAAAAAGGGTCACAGTATTCCCTTTGAAATTCTGTAATAAGTTACCTCACCTGTTCTTTATGGCCAGTTTAAGTTCATCGAGAACTTCAGATAGTAAAGATACAATAGTACACATACAGACTATTTATTGGGTCTAGATGCAGTCAAAGCAATTTAACATACCAGGCATGTTTTTGAACAAACCCATATTACAAGCTGCTTAGAGATATAAAACTGCAATTGATAACGTATTTCAGAAATGAGAGGTTCTTAGTCATTTTCATTTCTTCAGAATTTTACAGAAAAGTCAATTTTATAATTTAAAAAAAGAAGATAAGGAAACAAAGGAAACCCTAGCATCTTTATTTGGGGACAGAGAAAAGAAAGCAAAATGAACAAACTTTGGACAAGATAAACTTGAATTTATTGGATAAGCAAAGACTGAAAGAAAAAAAGTGTAGAGAGGATGATCAAGCGTCAGAATTATTGGTTGTGAGAAGTGAAAAGAGAATGCCACTAGCTAGTATCACAGTGAGTTTGAATTGGTCATCAGAGGAAATACTGCCACGACCTCATACATACACACTAAAATGTATTACACTCACCCTGACAAGAACATACCATTGCACAGAGTTTAAAGTAGTATTTCATCAATTCAAGGTTAAAACAAAATAAAAGGGAGATGTTAAAAAATTCACATGAACATACTGAAGAACTGGACAGAACTCATTTCTCAGGACAACAACATATATTCAAATAACAATGATAGTGTGAAAATGTATTATCTACCCCAGTAGACTATACTTTCTTGAAGACGAAAACCATATTTCATTCATCCCAACCTCCACAGTGCCTTGCAGACTGCCACCATGCCTAGACAGGAACACCAGCTTTCCCAACTCCTTATCATCCTATGGAGGAACAAAATTAATAGGGAACAGCCAGCCCTCCTGCAACCCAAGAGAAAACAGAATCCCATCCCACACAACAGTCAGTAAACCTTTCCAAGCCACGGGCTGAATTCCGTGAGGCCTAGGAATCTTCCATCCTATTGAACAGTGGCTTTCAAACTGCTTTTACCATAATTCACAGCAAAAAATATATTTTATCACACAACTCTATATATACGTGTGTATATGTAACTGAAACAAAAAATGTTGTTCAATTATACTTACTTAACCTTACCAAGTAAATAATGTGCTGTTACTTTCCACTGCATTTCTTTTTAAAACTTGCTGGTCACAACGCACTCAATTTTGCTATCCATCAATGAGTTACAACATATAGTCTGAATAACACCACTTCAGGACAGTGGTCTTCAAAGTGGGGTACATGTATCCGAGGGGGTATGTAAAGACTTTCCAAGGGATTCATAGGCACATGTTGTTTTAAAGGAATCAAACTCTAGATCCTCAACTTCCATAAATAATCTTTCCTAAAACAGAGGGGTATTTATGTGTAGATTCTCTTTGGCCACCTTCCTTTTCTTAACACCCTTCTCCCTACTTAACAAATGAAAGGCTTTCACCCATCCTGAGTTTTACCATGGTTCACTACCTTACTGTGTAAAAACTTCTCTGTGATATCAAATCAGAGGAACAATTTAAAATATCAATGTCAGTAACAAAAAAGTGAATGACTGGGCTTCCCTGGTGCCTCAGTGGTTAAGAATCCGCCTGCCAATGCAGGGGACACAAGTTCAAGCCCTGGTCCGGGAAGATCCCACATGCCGCAGAGCAACAAAGCCCATGTCACAACTACTGAGCCTGCACTCTAGAGCCCGCGAGCCACAACTACTGAGCCTGCACTCTAGAGCCCGCGAGCCACAACTACTGAGCCCACATGCCACAACTACTGAGGACCACGCGCCTAGAACCCGTGCTCCGCAACAAGAGAAGCCACCACAATGAGAAGCCTGCACACCACAATGAAGAGTAGCCCACGCTCGCCGCAACTAGAGAAAGCCCGCGTGCAGCAACAAAGACCCAACATAGCCAGAAATAAATGAATAAATAAACTTATTTTTAAAAAGTGAATGACTAATAACTGGGTAACAAATCTTTTGGCAGGTCATGTGGATTGCAAAGTCTATTTCAACAAAACTGAAAGAAGATCTATTTGAGTTGTCAACCTATAGAATAAAAATATTTTTGAAGCTAGAGCACTATGTGATTTAACACGTAATTCAGAAAGAGTTAAGAGAATAACAGTCACTATTTAAAAAAAAAAAACCCACTTCTATTTCCGTCTACTTATTTATGAGATCAAGGGCTTAACTTATATCTTTTTTTTTTTTGCCACACCATGCGGCTTGTGGGATCTCAGTTCCCTGACCAGGGACTGAACCTGGGCCATAGCAGTGAAAGCCCAGAATCCTAACCACTAGGCCACCAGGGAACTCCCAACTTATATCCATTAAAAAAACCCTGAAACATACCTTTTTCTAGACATTAATAATATTCACCAGAGGTTAATGACTTAATTGGGAGGGAGAACCAATATATCTCATAAGACCTGCATTTCCAATAATTTTTACAACTTAATTATTTTTAAGTGTGTACAATATTTATGTAATCAATTGTCTAACTGTAATGATATCTCAATACAAAAGAAATTTACACGCATATTTTTATTGCAGAGACGTCTGACCAATTTTTTTTTAATGGCTTCCAAGCACAAAATATTACTTTAGGCCAGTGGTTCTCAAAGTGTGGCCCCTGAACCAACAATATCAGCATCACCTGGTAACTTTCTAGAAATGCAAATTCTAGGATCCCACAGACCTAGTGAATCAGAAACTCTGGGGGTGCGGCCCAGCAATCTTTGTTTTAACAAACCCTATAGGTAAAATTCTGATGCACACTCAGGTCTGCGTGCTAAAAAACTCTTTTTAGAATAAAATTCTGAGGGAGACGTTAAAAAAAAAAAACACCTAACACAAGGAGGAGAAAAATGTAAAATTCCTGAAGAATTTATTCATGTATTTTTTATTAAATGGATGGTGATGGATATTAAATCACTATGATTGATTCCATTGGATATGTTTAAAAGCATGAAGTTTTAATTTAAATTGTCAGTGTTAACAATACGATAGAATTTACATCCTTTGAATTTTTTACGTTTAAAATTAAAAATTTTTTAAGGTGTGAGGGATGTTTATAATCATTTTACAGAGTATATAAACTTAAAAGTTGAAGGATCACTGGTCAAGAGTAGTGGTCCTCAAACTGTGGCCCTTGGACTGGCCATACTGCAGTCCCCTACAAGTTTATTAGAAATGCAAATTCTCAGGCTCCAGCCCAACATACCGTGTTCTAACAAGTTCTCCAGGTGATTTTCATCCACTTTAAAGTTTGAGAGCTGCTGGTCTATACCAGAGCAGTGGTTCCCAAAATTTGGTGTGCATCTGAATTACCTGGCGAGCGTCTTAAAACACTGACTGCTAGACCCTAATCCCAGAGTGTCTGGCTCAATAAGTCTGGGGTAGGATCCAACATTTTGCATTTCTAACAAGTTTCCCAGGAGATAATAATGCTGATGCTGCTATTCCACAATCACACTTTGAGAATCACTCACTGGTCTAGAGGGCTGTGGAAATCATATCTATACTTTCCTGTGTCAATACCCAAAATGTAAACCCTTTCCCTCATCCTTCAGAGTAGATCTCCCTCGTGATATGCTCTCATACATTTGCCTTATACACTGCTCTTTTTTAAACAACTCACTATTACTTAATCTGTTTTCCTCAGTAGAGTTCAACTCCTATGAGTAAAAGAGCCACATGAATCTTGCCCTTTCTGTATACCCAGCACCTAGGCACAATGCCCACCTCATAGTAGGTATTAAACATATTAACTGATAATTAACATTTGTTGAATAAATTACATGAAATGTCAGTTTTACTATTAACACAGCTAAGGCTATTATTAGAATGCCAACAGTCCTGATTTGCCCGGGGCTATCTCCCAAGTGCTAAGGGGACTGAAAGTCCTGTGTCCCAGGACTATCTAGCCTACCATCTTAAATATCATCAAGGGCAAAAGACAAAGGAATATCTGAATAATGCATTATTCAACTTGTTTTTCAATTTCATTATTAACCCTAGCCTCTAAATAGGCTTCTATTATACTATGCAAGTAGAAATAAAATCAAGATTTATTCAATGATAAAATTAACATTGTACTACCAAGAAACGTGACATTTTAAGGCAGTTTTAGTACGGGGGTTGGGGAAGACTTATAAACTTACCCTCTTTAGCCAAATACAACTCTTTAAATTTTGCTCTCTTTTGATTAAATTCTTGCTCAAGCTGCTGCTTTGCACGTAAAAATTCTGCATTAATTTTTTCCAATTCTGCTACCCGTTGCTGAAGAGAAACTGGAAAGAAAAATACTAGTTAACAAGTAATAACTTTTATTCATAAATTAAGTTACAAGAATAAATTAGTATTGTGGCTACACATTTCTATAATGAAACAAGTGGTCAACCTTCTTCCAAAGATCTAATATATTCTAGGAAATTCTAATTTTTCAAAAAAGACACTTCTCCTAGACTTAATACACACATTGTGAATGAATCATGTAAAGTGAAACAGCACATATATGGAGAATCGCATAAAGCAAATTTCCCAAAAGAAAGCTTCTAAGTTCCTTTGTATAACTGACAGAATGTCAATCCACTTACAGAATTGTTCAATTTTGGATTATTTGGGCTATTTACCCCACAAATGAACCCACTACCAATCTTGCTAGCTTCTGTCTCTCTCAAGTGTTATGAGCAAAATCTAAAGGGCACCCTGATTAGGACAGCCATACCAGCCTGAACTACTCTCCCAATTTCAAGATGATTCATTACCATTATACTGAAATCATAATCAAGAAACCTTTCATATAGAAAGGATACAGAATCGTACATTCTGTATGAACTCTCAATGACTGGGAGATTATCTGGTTTTTAGATTAACTTGATTGTGGTATGGCAGGGATTGGGACACATTTTTACTTTAGGGGCTCTATAATTTGGCCACAGCTAATTATATAAACACCTATTCTGACCAAACCCAGAGGGTCTTTTGGTTCAAGCAAGGAGAGGGAAATTCAGGAGTCCAAACCCCTGACCTCCTCCTTTTCCCCAACAGCAACCTAGCCACAAAACTATGACCCTAATCGCTCCAGGGGATACTTATCAGTACTAACACCTCTGCCTGATTACCTAGGTCAGCAGAGGTCTCAGTTCCCTACAATGAGCCACCCCAAGATTAACATGATTTACTAAAATTTTAACCATGATCTGAGATTATCTCTGAAGGTCTTCCCCCCACAACCTATTACTCAATTTAACTGAGATTATAATTTTATAACACACAGAAAAAAGACTGGAAAAAATGCACCAATGATTTGTCTATGAGAAATAGAATTATGGCTCATTAACTTCTTCCATGTGCTTTTCAAAGTTCTCTACAACTCCTTTGATAATAAACAATTAACTAAAACCACTATTTGCTCATTCCCATGACATCTTCAGACTAGCTTCACTACAGATCTAACAGCACCGATGCAATCCATGGCAAAAAAAAAAAGGAAATGACAGCTGCTTTGAGTTCCATGTCATTAAAGGTAAGGAGTCATTTTAAGGAGCAAACATCTAGGATCTTTAGGTCAAAGCAAAGAATGACATCTGGTCATTTGAACATGTGCTAACCTTCGGAGAAAGACAAGGATGGAGAACCCACTGGAAGGAGGAAACGTGCAGTTGTTTCATATTTACCATTTGAAACCATGAAGGAAATGGGTTCTCTGTGCTATTTACTTGTCTTGGTGTTTTTATTGTCCAATTCCAATTGTTAAATAAATTAAGCAATTTTCCACTTAACATTTTAAAGTTACTGGTACCTGATTAATACATGGGTTAAGGAAGAGCACTGGAAAATAAAGAAAGAAGAAAAAGCAGGATACCTCTGTTCTTACTTTTCCCTAACAACTACACTCCCACCCACTACTGCCTTCTACTAAAACACACTCACATACACACACACACAAAATGTCCATACCTTTCAACATTATATTTATATTTAGGAGCGAAGGCTAATGAATCAATAAAAACTAAAATGCAGCCTTTAAAATTACAGCCAATAAAGATTAAGCGTGTTTCCACTACTCCCAACGCTGTCCTGGCTCTGACCCACAGTTCAGGCGCCATCCACACCCACAGGTCTGGCTGCCTCTCTCACGATTCAGAACAAATGTCAATTCCAGGAGTCATGATCCCATTGAGGATACACCAAGTAACTCCCTTATTTGTTTTCTTAATAAAAAACAAATAAGATAATAATAAAAAAATTTCTTAATAAAAAATTTCTTAATAAAAAAATTTAAAATCCGCCCCCCAAATTTTTTTTAAATCCACCTCAAGTACTTCTAACATACTGCAATTCTACAATACAAAGGCCAAAACAACTGTTTTTTACAAGAAAGCCTCTACTGCTGTATGTAGAAAAATCAATTCACCTTGCATAAGACAGTAAGAAAGTTTACAAACAGGCATATCCTATACCATAATGCATGAGCAACCAACCACAAATCAAACTGAAAACAGATCTCGTCACACAAAATACTTTATTATTTTTCTAACATGGTGACGAGCAGTTCACAATAACTAGCTAATAGTTCATGTAAAAACCACTTAGCCTGGCATATAGGAAAAAAAAGGACGTTAGCTGTAAACTAGTGAGATTTACTGATATTAAATGAATAAGGAGAGATTTCCGTGGTGGTCCAGAGGTTAAGACTCCACTCTCCCAATGCAGGGGGCCAGGATTCGATCCCTGGTCAGGGAACTAGATCTCACGTGCTACAACTAAAGATCCCGTGTGCCACAATTAAGACCTGGCACAGCCAAATAAATAAATAAATAATAATTTTTTTTTAAATGAATAAGGGAAAACAGCAGAGTGATCAACTGGCTTTGACAAAAGACCAGAAGTCACTTCCAGCCTCATGATTCTGACTCAGTTCCATCCTTAGACTTCCAGCTCATATCCTTCCCTACTACCACGTATCAACATGGGCAAATTGTTAACACAAACTTCAACAATATTAAGCCTGCTGTAACTCACAGCTGACAGCTATTAGTATATCAGCCTTTGTTAAACATTCCACACATTCTGTATATTGCTACCTTCGTTTGAGTAATAAAAAATAGAAGGGATACTATGTTATGCAATGATGCAATGGCTTCCTTTTTTTTTTTTTTTTTTTTTTTTTGCAGTACATGGGCCTCTCATTGTTGTGGCCTCTCCCGTCGCGGAGCACAGGCTCCGGACGCACAGGCTCAGCGGCCATGGCTCACGGGCCTAGCCGCTCCACAGCATGTGGGATCTTCCCGGACCGGGGCACGAACCCATGTCCCCTGCATCGGCAGGCGGACTCTCAACCACTGTGCCACCAGGGAAGCCCTGCAATGGCTTCTTTTAATGCTTGATATCCAAAGGGAAAAATTATTACATCATTTATTCAAAATGTCTGCATTGGTGGTATAGGGGTGAGCATAGGTGCCTTCCAAAATGTCTGAATTAAGCAATGCAGAAAGAAAAGAATAATATGGCAAATAAATGAAGGAAATATTCAATAATTCTTAGGTATACTCCTTCCCTAATTTTGATATGAATGGGAGAATATGTAATAACTTAAAAATATCTTTAAGCCTCAAGCTGTGTCCTACTATTACATTCCTCTAAGAGTGTACTAAATTTGATAAGACATTATCAATGGGAAAAGAAAAAAAATACAGTCTAGATCAAATATTACTACAATCAGAATCTTTTTGTTTAAAAATGTTCAAGATCCAAGAAAACACCTATTTCAAGGAAAAAAGAAAAAAGTATAACTCCAGTGGAACAAAAGAATCTGAACAGTTCCTGAAACTCAAAAGTCTTAACCTGTGTATCACTGGCTTTTAAAATGAAACTGTTGGGCTTCCCTGGTGGCGCAGTGGTTGAGAGTCCGCCTGCCGATGCAGGGGACACAGGTTCATGCCCCGGTCCGGGAAGATCCCACATGCCGCAGAGCGGCTAGGCCTGTGAGCCATGGCCGCTGAGCCCGCACGTCCAGAGCCTGTGCTCTGCCACGGGAGAGGCCACAACAGTGAGAGGCCTGCGTACCGCAAAAAAAAAAATATGGTAGGTACATACACCCATCCAATGGAATAATATCAAGTCGGAAAAATTACATTAAAAGATTAAGACACAAAATTAGATATAACATGATCTTTGGAAAATATATGTATTAAGAAAAGACTGGCAAGAATATGCCAAATTATATTCAGAGTGGTTGCCTTTCTGAATCAAAGCATAATTAAAAGGATAAATTAGGGACTTCCCTGGTGGTGCAGTGGTTAAGAAGCTGCCTGCCAATGCAGGGGACACGGGTTCCATCCCTGCTCCAGGAAGATCCCACATGCCACAGAGCAACTTAAGACCATGAGCCACAACTACTGAGCTTGCCCTCTAGAGCCCATGAGCCACAACTACTGAAGCCCGCGCGTTTAGAGCCCGTGCCCCACAATGAGAAAAGCCACCACAATGAGAAGCCCGTGCACTGCAACGAAGAGTAGCCCCCGTTCGCCGCAACCAGAGAAAAAGCCCGCAAGCAGCAACGAATTCAATGCAGCCAAAAATAAATAATTTTTTTTAAAAAGGGACAAATTACATTGATTGGGTTTAAATTAAAAGATAATAAGGTACTTCATCTTTTTTTTAGTTTTACTGATTATAATTTTATCTTATTGCTCCATCTCAATCTCTCTGCTCATAAAAAGTGCACATAACTTACTTCAGTGGTCTTAAAATATTTTAACACACTATATAGTCATTTTTTAAAACTACACTTATATTTTCCCAGGACAAACAATTTGTTAAAACAGATAAATTTTCTAAAAAAATAATCTCTTCTGTTTCAGAAGTGGTCTTCCAGCTAGGAAACTACCTTCTCCCTGTACTCTGAAAACTAATCATGTCCAGCCTCTTTGAGGAATTACTAAAAATGATTATAATTGGCAGTAAATCTAGCCACTGAATTGTGCTTTGTTTAGAGAATATTAAGTAAATCCACAATTACCTAGCATGCCTCAAGAAGGAAGGGGAAAAGAGAAAGTAAAGTAAAGCAGTCCACAAGCAGGTAACTGGTTTAACATTACCAATCACTTCGCAATATTAGAGGAAACAGATATGGCACTTGGGAATCACTTTTTCCATAATACTAAAGATAATCATAAATTCTTTAGTGTAATAGAAAGTTGTCAATTCACTTCATATAATCCTCCAAACTCTGACTTTAGAAACTTTAAGAAACTGCATCCTTTTACTTTGTGCATTTACTCAG